AAAATTCCCCTTTTTTTTTGTTTTTTGGGTAATAATTTCTCGATTAGGAGAATTGGGCAATCGACAACCTCTTTGAAATTTAATCTCTTGAGCTAAGTGCTTGCCTCCAAATAAAGACTTTTGTTCTCAAATTCCAATTTTTAGGCCTAAAAAGTAAAGAAATTATCCTCAAAATCAGGTCTTTTTTCTGGGTTCTTATCTGAATGCTTTTTTCTTGCATTTATTGCTTTCATTTGAATAGATGAAGGTTAAATTTGCAGTTTTTTGATCTGGGTTTTTTCTGGGTTTTTTTTAATCATTTTTTTTGTATGACTGTTTCAATTTACTTCGATTGTGGTGCTAGTGCTTCTGATTATGTGGGGTTTGTTATGCCTCTTTTTCTTGGTATCTGTTAATTTTGTGGGGTTTTGTGTTATGTTTGATTGATTATATTTTATTATACTCTTTTATAAGCTCAAAATTGGGATTTCACTTATTCTACCTGGTGTAATTTGGAGCTTAACTTATTGAGGTAAGTTTCCTCTTTTTAAAAATTCTAGGGTTTTGGGTTTATGTTTATCTAAATTTTGGGTTTCTTTGATGGAATTTCTGTTTAGGGTTTACTGTATTTGAATGCATGTACAATTGGGTGTATGCATATTTGATTCTTTGTTGAAAAATTCGCTTTAATCAGCTAATTTTAGGTTTTGTGGTGCATTAATATTGGTTGATTTGAAGAAATTTAGTAAGGAATTTTATAGTACAATAATAATAATGGAGTTTTTGGAATCTGGGTTTGGTGAGCATGTGCACAAGAATACCTCATACACTTCTTTCTAAATTTGTGAAAAGTTAGATTTTTTATTTTAATTAATTTTATTTAAATGTATCTTCTTTGAGATCAGTGGAATATTGCTTCTGGGTTTTTTTCTTCATTTGTGTTTATTAATTGCAGCATGTGGATCCTGGGGTTTTGAAGATGCAATGTTCACTGTATCTTGTTTCCTTTTGTTCTGGGATTTGTGTAATTGTGTTTGCTGCTAAAATTTGTACTTGGGGCTTTGATAGCATTCATCTCCTTCATATTTGGTGGATTAAAGAGTGTATTACCTACGCGAATGATTAGGCTTTATAATTGTTTTATTAAGCTTCTTTGATCTTGATTTATAATATAAAAAAACTTGCTAATTTTGCTGTAATGTGAATAATGTGTTTTGTTGGACTTTGTTATGGTTAAATCATGACTATCTTCATTGATATAAACTAGTGTGTCGCTCTCTTTTATAGCCTTTGTCAAAATTGCTTCATAATTTGTATTCTTATGATATTTCAGGTTTGTAGTTCTTGTGTTGCATAATGGACTCCCCACAGTCTGTTGTTTCACCTTTTAAGAATCTGACTGTTAGTGGTGCTGAGCCAGAGAAGCAGCGATCAGAAGTCTTATCCCGTGGCTCTTTCACTCACATAGCTAACGGAACTGACAAGAACGAGGTGAATGGGAATGTTCATAATCCAGAAGACTACATTGGTAGTCTTGATGTGTACGTACATCAGGCAAGGGACATTCAGAACATTTGTATATACCACAAGCAAGATGTTTATGCTAAGCTTTGCCTGACCAGTGATCCTGAAACCACTGTATCCACACAAACCATCAACGGCGGTGGAAGGAATCCGGTCTTTAATCAAAGCCTCCAGCTGAATGTTAGGACGGTAGAGGCCTCCTTAAAATGTGAAATTTGGATGCTTAGCCGTGTCAGAAATTACCTTGAAGACCAGCTTCTCGGGTTTACTCTTGTGCCACTGTCAGAAATCCTGGTCAAGAATGGGAATTTAGAGAAAGAATTCACTCTCTCCTCAACTGATCTCTTCCATTCTCCATCCGGGTTTGTTCAATTGTCTCTCTCGTATTCTGGAGCTTCCCCTGAAGTCATAGAAATCCCTAAACTACCCATGGATGCTGAAAATGCAGTGCAGGATTCAGAAACTGTCAAGTCTGTTCCCAGCGAGTTTGACAAGTTTGAGTTCCCTGACCCAAACATTGTCAATGAAAATCATATGATGGTATCTGAGTACTTTGGGATGAGCTTGGAGTCTCAAACTACTGAGAGTTTGGTTTCTTCAGACAATGAGAGTCACGAGCTTGGTGTTCGTATCGTGGAGAGCTTCTCGGCCAATAGTGAGGACTCTAAGCCGAATCTTAATGCTGATTCCCCTCCTAGCAGTGTTTCAACCAATGGTTCCCCGTCTGTTTGTCTCCCTACAAGCTCTCAATCTTCTGAGGCTCCTGTCACTTCAAAGTCTCCAAGCCAAGAGCATGTTTCCCCATCAAAAGACAACAAGAATGCTGAGGGACATGGTGAGAGCAGTTCTGCCGATGTTTGTAAACCATCAAAAGATACAACTGTAACCCCACTGGTTACTGTGAATGTCGAGCCAGAAGAGAAGATGGTGCAACAGGAATTTGTGAATATGTACATGAAGAGCATGCAGCAGTTTACTGAGTCCTTGGCCAAAATGAAGCTTCCAATGGATCTGGCTGAGCCTGAACCAACCAAATCAGGGGATTCTAGCTCAGATCAGAAGTTGGAAACCCCGAAGAGTGCTGGATCACGGGTCTTCTATGGGAGTAGGGCTTTTTTCTAAGCTTTTTATGGTCACAGGTGGAAGCTAAAACAGGTGACTTTTTAGATTTTAGAATCAAAATCCAATATTTAGTGATTACTAATGTATGTTGTGATGTAATTTGTGCTTTTAGTGTTTTACCTTTGTATGTTAAGAATGTCTTAGATGATGATCGGAGATATCGAGCAATGTTGTACTAGATGCAAACTTTGTTCTGTTAAATTTCCTTTCATGATAAATGAACAAGTTTGTTCTGTTTAAATATCTCATTCCTGTTTACTACTTGTGGTAATGCATTCCTCTATGCTCCTACCTTGTGTTACATGAAATCATGGACCGCCTTTCCACCTCAAGGAATTGTGTCAAACATGAATGACTAGGAACTCCCAATACATCATCTTGGACCCAGTAAAGAAAATCATCATAAACTTGCCGAGTTTGATACTATGATTAGTACTCATGGACGACATGACTCGTGAGTTTGAGCAACATTAGCTACAAACTCAATTACATGGTAATGAGTGAAAAAACAAACAAAAAGAAATTTCCGAACATGATTAGTTTTGAAGTACGGTGATACGGTGTTCCAAAGTCTCGACTTAATATCCTGTTCTTTATTACCTTAGTGCTCTTGCTTTCTTTCTTTCTTTTGATTTCCAGTTTGAGATTTTCCAGTAATTATGGTATCCAATAAAAGCATATATAAGCTCGTGTATGCTATTATGTATGCTAATGAACCCTCAAAATACATGTAAGGTGGTCCAAGAAAGTATATAAAAGATTCATTATGATTTATGAACATTATTTTTGATTGTATCATATAATTGTTCAAGTTCTTTAGGCTAGATGCCTAGATTCATAATAATGGAGCCTAAAGAAAAGGAAAAGAAAGACAGTAATTGAGAGAAACAGGAAGATGTAATTTGTGCTTTTTTCCCCCAAAAAGTTCACTCCACTTATATACAAGATTGGCCCTTATTTCCACTTTTATCTGTGCTTTGATGATCACAGCAGCAGCTTTAAAGCAGCCTTACATATTGGACTGATTAATAAAGAGACTATTGTATTGTATAATGGGGTAAAGTTGCTACTATAATGATTATGCATTTCCCTTAGGATAGTCACAGGGCTCAAGGGTGAGGGACTACTTATCCTCTTTGTTACCTAGGCATTATAGAAAGGATTTAACTTATCTCTTTTTTCGGGACCGCCTGCCCGATAGGGGCGTTTCCTTGGGAAATCTTTGAAAGATACACTATTCATAGTTTCGAGGGCTGATACACTTGTCTTTGAGAGTGGATTTTTAGTTCTGTGTTAGTTTTTTTCCTTTCTTTTTTGGATTAATAGGCGGTGTTTTGCATAGTTCCCTAATCGCAAGGAGGGTATTAGACTATTGGGATGTTATGTAACCTCAAGATTGAAAAGGATCAAACGTAGGGGCGGAGTGATATATTCTTGTATATCTTTCTTTAAAAACAGAATTAATTATTTAGCGTGTGATAGAGTTAGAAGTCTCTTAAAGAGGCATTAAATCATGGTATACTCAAATTCTACAAGTCAAATACTTTGTACTCTGTAACTTTTTCTTTCAAAAATCAATTTAATTGGGTAGGCCAAGTGGGTCAATTGATTCGTTCCCAAAGTGTAGCTTCACCTTTGATTGATTAGTACTAGTATTATAAAGTTGCCAGTAATTTGCATTGTTATTGAAGTGACAAATTATATTGTAGTGGTGGTATAGAGGAAATATGTGACTTTGAAATGGTCATTTGATTAGATGGGGGCTCCATCAAATTTGGTTGGTGAAATTCTGTTTGAAAAGTTACTATACTAGGATACTTGTTTAGGCAATGGAATTCTGTTCAGATTGAACCACAATAGAGCTTGATAGCAACTACCAACTGTTAATTTTGCTGAATTAATACAGAATTTATGAACAATAGGATCAAACTTGGGATTAGTCCTAGTTGATTAGATGTTAGCTTCCTGTCCCATGATGGTGTGATTGGTGTCAAGACTGCCAACTGTACGATTCATGGGGCGACGACTTTGGTCATGGATTTATGAAGAGAGAACACTGTCTGATATCCATTTCAATAGTATCAGATGAATACTAACAGTCTTATTGCGTTGCAGGTCAAATGAAATGGATTCATTGTAATATAATTTGAATCAACTTTATGATTTTTTCTTTAAATAGAGATTTGGGTCATTATCAGTAACCCTGCTGGTTCACCTTTGAACCTGTATGGTACAAGCTACCTCTGCCCTGAATTACTGTCAACTTTTTAATTATGACTAATTGCTTCTTTCCTGTACTTAGTCTTCTCTTATCAAGTCTCAGTGACGTTTGTATATTAAGTCTCAGTGACGTATTCCATCATACATCAATAATGAACATCAGAAAGCACTCATATCAGAAGGGATTATACAGTTTATGAATATTGATGGCTTCTACAAGAAAAAGAAAAGATTATATGTCATCAAAAGATAAGGAAGATTCTTCAGTATCAATATTGTATCATAGTAGTAACTTTAAAGGGGTACTTCAACTATTTCATTGGCCCTTAAACTCATGTGCCTCCTACAAATCCATGCAACTTGTCCTGTATCTCTATACTTCACTCTCCACAGTCCAAACTTCTCTGCGATATCTCTTCCAGCTGAGCAGCCTCGGTCCCTCAGGAAATCAAGAACCCACTGCTGTGCTGCTCTTTGATCCTGCTGAATATTTCGTGATCTGTCTCTTGTCCTACTGTTCCCCACTGCCATTGCTCCGATAGCTGCTGCACCTGCTGCCCCGGCTGCTCCAGTCAGAAGAGAAGAATCGAGCAGGTGGGCAGCTTCTTTGCCTAAATTAGGTATCATAGATCCCATTCCTGTAGCCAAATGTGTACCTATCTTCAAGGCAAATGTTAATAGTGTCATGAACTTTGTCATGTAGGGTGCCAAGCATTTGACTGCGACATTATCAATCTGCATAACTTCACAGCCCATTTGATCTTCTACCACATGCATCTCCCTCCTAAACTCGCACAACATGTGGAGTCTCATTGCTGTCATTCCTGAAATGATTGTGGTCACAAGTTTCCTGGAATAATTTTCTGTTCTCACAAAGAAGAACATGTTTGGCACTTTCCTTTCTTCAATGTGTGCATTGTAGTTGACTAAATGATCAACTTTGCGGTGTAGTTCAAGCAAAAGCCTGTGCTCGTAGTATCTCAGCCCTTGTATCTCTTGCCTTAGATCTCTGATCTCCTGTTCGATGATCTTCAGCCTCTGTAAAACTTGCTCTACTCCCTTAGCTATCCCACTGAATGATGGATCAACACTTTCTGAAGTCACGACTGCTACACTATCAGGGTCGTCATCTGGAGGGACATCAAGTTCATTTGCTAGGTTGTAAAGATCATGATATCTTCTATGAAGTACCTCTCTAAAGTCATCGTCTGACAAGAGGTCCCTTGCAAAATCAAAGCCTGCTCTTATGACGGGCTTTCCTGCATCAGATACTGCACTCCATGTATGCTGGTAATCATACATTCCATCTGCTGAAACAGTTAGTAGAGCTTCTTTCAGTTTGTGTAGTGCAATTAACTGAGTCTTTCTGTATCTAGGAGGAATCAAACTTCTCACACATTCAGGTCTAATGATGTTTTCAATCAATACAACTCCTTGGCAGAGGCCATGAATTGCAGGAATTATGAGATGATGGATAAGTCGGAGTGTTTCTGTTAGATTCTTGGTAGAGCAAGCCAAGATATCGATATAATGGCACAAATGTCCACCAAGCTCCACTCTGACGTCAATTCCATTGATGTTTATTGAAATGAGAGAGTTTTCCATGCTGTAAGTCGCTCCATGCTGATCTTTCAGTTCCATGAATTTATTGTGGAGATTCACCTGCATTGCAAATAACACACATAAACAAGGTACTCTCATTTGTCACTCTGCTCAAATTCGCAATATTTTTATTGACATTATTGATTCAGTGAAGATGACCCTAGTTTTAGATGATATACTGTCTTTGATCTACTGGCAAAAATCACTACATTATTGGTTTCTTTGGTTCTTAATTTGATACACTCACAATACATAACGTTTTGGAATATTGGAACCGTGTATGGATTGATATATTTACCTTACTAAGCATGTTTTGAGAAAATGAAGAGTACTCTAGACATATTTTATAATAGCTGACAGTCTGACACTTGTATAATGAAATCCTGAATAAAGGCTGTGTTTTGGGACCTGAGGGACTAAATCTAGATTTCATTTGTTTATCTGTTTGCTTTCTTATACTCCATCCGGATATGTAGTTATGTATACTATATTGGAGTCAGGAGAATAATTGGCACATTTCCTAAAATCGCAATGAATTATGATTGGTCTTTAACATGCCATTAAGTGATAAGAATGTGAAGTGCAGATATAGCATTATAGCACAACTATTATGAGGGGTATTTTTGCATAATCATGTCAAGCCTTTAATTCTGTAAATTATTTTCGGATTAAAACTTTAAAAGTAGGATAGTAGAGCGTAAAACAAGAAGATGAATCTTGCCTGTAGTTGAGGAAAGAAGCCAGGAGTCAAAAAAGTGCAGCTTGAATCATCACACTCAAGATGCCGTCCTGCATACACACAATCAGATGAACTGAGCTGCCACTTTTGTTGTTTTTGCCTCCCCTCTTCAAGAAATGAAGGGACAAATATGGCTGAGTTTGGATCGTTTAGGTCTTGTTCAAAACATAGTTCTAACTTTAGCATCAGCTTAACAAGGTCAGTGGCCTCCAAATTCTCGAAAACCTTAGAACTCATCCCTAGAAGCTGACTCTGAAAACTTCCTTTCAGAATTTTTTCCAAGTCTTTCCTGCTTATGAAACCATTCCTGATTGATCCTTGCTTTCGAGCTGTTCTTAATCGGACTAATTTTCCCAACACTTCTTGGCAAAACCATTCACAATCCAGGATAAGTAAACCAGGATCATCAAAGTAGATAACCTCTCCTATCTGATGAAGACAACTAGCAACTGCCCGCCTTCTCATATCAGTCTTCTCTTTGTTCTCAAACCTAGACCGAACCCTCAAAGGTGGAACCTTGACCTGACAAAGCTCACAGAATTCTTTCCAGCTCATAGCAGGTTTGTTGTCATGTTCTTTCCTCCAGTCCAACAGTATCTCTGCTAAGTCATTGCACAGCTCATAAACTCGAGGAACCCTTTGTAGGATCATCTTGCTCGTGTTCTTTAAATGTTGAGCAAGTTTACTTACAGATGTTGATGATCTTGCATCAACCGTAAAAACAGTTGGATAAAACTCAAGAAAACCGTTGAATTTGTCTCTCATTCCTTGGATTAGGTTCACAATAGCCTGAAAATTCTGAGAGGGCTGAATGACTTTGTCAAAGTGTGTTAAAACTATGGTCACATTCGGAAGCATGCATTGTTGGACTGCTCTACTTGAGTTAGAGACGATGAATCTGAGCCAGTACTGCAAGTCTTCTTCAATTTCAGCCGGGTCTTTCATCTCTTTGTTACTCGGTTTTCTGAACATACTCAACAAAACTAAGAAAAATGATGCACTCCCATGCCCTGGGAACATAAGGTCATGCAGAGAACACAGTTCTTGCTGACCAGCCAGATTCCATATGGTTATCTTTGTGTCTTCATCTTTGAAACTACTGATTTTTATCCCCTCTGATTTGATTGCTTGTTCAACCGGGTTCACCAAAGTTCGGACTTGGTTTACATAAGGTAGCTTGGTTGATGAAAAATTGTAGGATATTGAATTGCATAGTGAACTTTTACCTGCATTACTGAATGCAATTAGCTCAACATATGGTTGGTATTCACAAGACTATCCCTCAATTTATACATCAGAAAACTTCTTATAATATTAAAATTACCAGGTAAGAATTAAGCCCTCGAAAATAATTTGATAACATCTTATTATGGTCTTCTGAAATAAGGACCTGTAATTTATGATTGTTTTGTGCTAGTAACTTGCAATTTAATGGACTATAATTTTATATTCATGACTGTCATATATAATTAATCAATTTGTGCAGATAACAAATTGCTCTTGTTTCATATGTATAGCGCAGACAAGAATTATGGCAGAATAAAATAAGAGTAAAGATAAACTTAGTTCAGGAGGTTACCTGCATATTCCTGCCCACAGACGAAAACTCGACAGCTCTTGGGTGTAATCATCGGCATATCCTTAAAAAAATCCATATCAGGTTCAGACTTTGCATTCTGACCCAGTTTCTGATATATCCCTTCAGCCATTCCTGCCTTATGCAACGGCGTATCCTCAAGATCAATCTCTTCAATCCAAGGATTCACCTGTAAAGTCCCCACAATCGCCTGTAAAACAGACTCTCCCTTAACTCCCCTGCAACCCTTCAATGACAGATACTTCAACGACGCATTTTTTTCCAAAGTCTGAAAAATTCTGACAATGTCACCAGGTCTCAGCCCCTGATCATCAACTATGCCGAGCCTACTCAGGCTCTGATTGCTCGTGATCATCTGCAGGATCGCTTCCAAGCCTGCCCTCCCTACTCTCATTCTTTCCCCTCCAAATGTAAGCGATTTCAGTGTCGTGTTTGCTTGGCATTGCAGGGCAGAAAATCTGCTCAACGGGCAAAGCAAATGCTCTACTCCTACCCCACTAAAACAATTCCCATCTAAATGCAAAGTCTCCAAGTTTCTGTTCTTAAATAGTCCTGCTGATACATAAACAACCCCTTTATCTTTTAAACAACATTTTGACAATTTCACTTCTTTCAGAGTTCTATTCTGCTCCAACACCCATCTGAACTCCCTCGCCCATTTCGACTTCAGTCTAACTCCTGTCATATCAAGAACCTTAACTATTGTATTCATACCGAGAGCACAGACAACCCTGCAACTTCCTGATATGTCAAGCCTGTATATTCTGAGTGTGCTACTTTCTGGCACAAACTCCACCACTTTTGTGCATCTTTCTCTCTTTTCCGCGCTCCAAATGTGAACTTCCATGTCTCTATTCCTAGCTAAAACTGCTGAAATTATCGGTGTTGCTATAAACGAGCTTGAATCGAATACTGTCAGTAGCTTCAGAGATGTATTAACTTCAACCATCTTTGACAGCTCTTCTGCCCCTCTTAACCCAATTGAATCTTCCCAAATTTGCAGCTCTTCTACGCAGTCATTCGCCTTCAAAGCATCAGCTATCATCCCAGCACCTCTGACTCCAATGCAGGATTCACAGAACACAATTTCCTTCAGATTATCAGCAGCCTTCAGAATCTCTGACAATTCCTTCAAGCAGTCTGAACTGAAGTCATTTCTTCGAAACATGATTTGCTTAACTGCCGGGTTGTTTTCAAGCAATGATTTGAGGCTCCGAAGATACTCAACTTCCCATACTACTCTATGGAACTCCAAGTTTCTTAAGCCTGACGTCGCGCTGTTTTTCATCATTGTTGAGAGCTGTGTAAGGAGGAATGAAAATAGAGCATTGTTTTCCTTTGACAGGTTTATGTTGATGCAGGATTCTGTTTCTTGTTGACAGCCTGAAATTTGATGAGAAAGAAAGAAGGAAACTTTCTGCAGATTTATGCAGTTTTCTGATTCCAACACTTGCAGTACCCATTGCAGATCTTTCAAGTTTTCATCAGATGCCATTTTATTTAGAGGTTCATGAAATTTCTCCAATTTTTTTGTACAGATGATTGTAGTAATAAGTTACTTTACCCTGTATGGTTTCTGACTAAAGTTTTTTTTTGTTGTTGTTGTTGTTGTTGTTGTTGTTGTAAAGGTGTCAAAACCTGATCCAATATGAAACCAACTCGAAAAATATTTAATATAGATTTCGACTCACTTGAACTCAATAATTTAGCATGCCTCAAGTTTAAAAATTAGACTCGACCTTCCTGCACTTGGTCTGGACTTTCGAACTAACACCTCTAGTTTTTTCTGAGTAGTGTAATGCAAAAGGTTAAATCGTGTTTGTTTTTCTTGTATCCGATTAAACTATGTCAATTATAATAGAACATCCGAGTAATTTGTTTAGAGGGGGCCCAGATGAGGTGTGACTGATCTGGGAGTTTGACAAAAAAGGGCCGTTATGTTGTTGTTATCATGTTTAGATATTCTGAGCTTGTTTTTCAAGAAATTACTTTTGGGAAACCATGTTCCCACTTTATAGGTTTTGATGCTTTGCTTTGTATATTGTTGCAATAATTCCTGAATTCCAACCCTTAAATGTGGGTAGGTATCAAATGCCGTTACAATTGTTAATGAGTTGACATGAGCAAAGCTATGGTATGTTGCTATTCTTGTAAGTTCTTGTGGCCGGCAGTGAGGAATGAGCTAGATCATGTTGCCGTCGCCATCAACAGGCATACAGGAGATATATGTACACCCTCCGTGTTTTTTTTTAAGTGTTACAGTTTGACCGACACATAATTTTAGGCAATTTAATTGATTTAAATAAATTAAGAGGTAAGTGGGGTAGTTGGAGTATTAAAAAATTGTAAAAGAAAGATAGTGAGGTTAATAATTTATTAAAAAGTAATGAATGTGAGAGGAAAGATATAATAAAAAAGTACGGAGTAATAGTGAATTTGGATGGGGACCATAAGAGGAGAGATATATAATATTTTAATGTATCTTTTTACCAAAAAAGAAACACGAAGAGAGTAGTACAAAGTTACAAACTAGTGCTAGCTTTAATTTGATATAGAGCTATATATTTGGGCTTAAATGATAGGTTTCGGTTTTGTGTACGCTACAGGAAAACTGTACAAATATGATACCCTACAGGTTCCGGGTCCAAAATTTAATTACACGGAATTGGAACCTGTTGCATTACCCGGAACCGGAACCTGCTCCGAACAAGTTTCAGTCCAAGTCAGGGTACCCTGAATTTTTGGTCACCCCTAATTATATCATGTGATCACTAACCAACTCATACAATTCTAAACTGTCTAGTCAGCAACTGCATTCATAATAAATGTAGGTGATCGTTAGCAAAACTGCAAAGGTAACACTACATATACAATTTCATAGTTCACATGACACAATTTGCCATAACAACCACGACAAAAGAGTAATCCTAACCACATTTTTTTTAGGAAAACTCATCCTAACTACATTTAACCAATGATAAACTTGTAATTGACTTATGTTACCATACTTTCCTTTTGTTTGTTGTGAACTCAGTTTAATTAATGTAATTTTAGTTGTTTTAAAAAATTTTAAAAAAAAAAACCAAAAAAATTTACAAACAAATTATACAAGTTTTGGTTTGTGAAAATAGTTTTGGAGAAATGAAAGTGTGATAAAACTTTTAAAAACAGGTTTTACTCTAAACCCGGTTGTCCTGCCCTATAATTGGATGATCGTATTAAGACTCAGCCCATTTATTTATTAGACGGATAACCCATTATTAACTGTGGTGGGTCATGGATCATGGGTTTTAAACTTTTAATAGGAACTTTGCATTTTATCACTATAAATATTTTAAACTTTTAAAAATATGCAATTTTTTTTATCCTTATTTGATGATTGAATCTGTTTGGGTCCAATTTAGTCCAATTGGGCCTAAGCACTAAATGATCCAATTAAAAGCCCAAGGTCAAGGTTCAACTCTCCAATTGTGCTAAAGTCAAAGGTCAGCCCACAAAGCAAGCCAATTGGGCTAAGGCCCAACCTCTCCATGTATAATGAGGTATAAAAGCCATCATATTGATACATTCAAGAAGGGGATTCATTCAGATTCGGATTCATTGATAGATTCATATGTTCATTCATATATTCTGATATATTCCATAAAAGCCTCAAGCAACAAACTCTCTTGCATAGTGTCCACTTCTTACACATTGTACTGACTTTAGCATCGGAGGGGCCTTCCTCGGCAACACCCCCGAGGCTAGTTTACGTGTGTTTACTGTGCAGGAAACCTTGGGCCCAACATAACTTGGACCGAATCCAGCCTTCTCCATTTCAGCGGACCTTCGGCAAGGTCCCATTGTTTTCACCCGAAACAATTTGGCGCCGTCTGTGGGGAAGACTTTCAAAAATCTTTAAGCCAAATTCCTAACCAAGATCATCTTGCAATTATCTTAGCAGCAATGGCTAAGAACCGCAAGAGCAAAAGCCTCCGTCAAGGAGCGGGCGAAAAGCCTAAAACCCCTACACCATCGCCCTCGCTGGACCGGAACTCTCCCAAGGGTACCGGCTCGGGGGAGGATCATACAAGGAGGATTCCCTATCTCCCGTAACTCATGACTCTCATTATAGGCCGGGCCACTCTCGGTCTAGCAGGGGTGAGTCCGATCATAGGACATATTCAGTGTCCCAAAGCCAACCATCGGCTGCGCGCCCTCATTCCCACACTCGGCCGAGGACCCCTTTGACGGGGCCCAGCTCGGAAGAGGTGGCAAGAGCGCTGGCAGTACTCATGGAGGCGATGAGGGCACAAAATATGCCACCACCTCGTGATCGAACTCCTCCGCATACCCGGCATCAGCGGAGGAAGTTAGACCATGATGGTGGGAAGCTTCCTTCCTTCCGGGAATTGGAAGAGTGGGAGGAGGATTCTTGGAAAAATGAAAAACAGAGGAAAAAGAACCCTCAATTTTTAAAAGGATCCTCATCCTCAAGACCAGAAGCGCATAAGAGCAGCAGCTCAGCTTCTCGGCCAGAATCTACTCACCGAGAACCTGAGACTGTTCGCAGAAGCGTCCTTGACCGACTCGGCGGCAAGGAACCGAGCGTGCGCAGTCGCCTCTCGTTCCCTGCAGCCGAGGCCCAGACTTCCCAGCCAGGGACGAAAACCACTCCTACCTCTCTAAGAGGGCGGAGCGCGGTCCCTTCGGCCAGGAACAAGGGCAAGGCCGTTATGCTACCCGCTAGTTCACCATTCGAGCAATGGATACTGGAAGAGCGCGTACCCACGGTTAAAATACCGTCGCACATCACATATGACGGGACCACGGATCCGAAGGATCACGTGGCCTCGTATGAGACTCATATGCATCTTTGCCCCAGATCCGAGGCGACTTGGTGCAAATATTTCCCAACCACTCTCAAGGGGGTCGCGCAAGCGTGGATCTCCAAGGGAGTAAGGCAAGGCTCCGTAACAGGGTGGGATGATCTGTCCTCCAAGTTCAGGAGCAAGTTTTCCACGGCAAACCGCCGAGAGAAGACTACCGCAGAGCTCATGAGTCTGCAACAGGGGGAAACCGAAAGCCTCCGAGACTACCTGACCCGTTTCAGTAACGAGTCATCAAGCGTCTCCCAGCTGGACCAGGGGCTAGCCGTTTTCGCAATGCAGAATGGCCTTCAGCCAGGAAAGTTCCTAGACTTCATGGTCATGCATACCCCGCAGACCTTGGAGGAAGCTCTTAATGCTTCGGATAAGTTCATCCGAGCCGAAGAATGGAACAAAGCGAAAACCCAACCTCAATCCGGGGGAGGGAAACAGAGGCAAATACCCTTGTCTGAAGGCCAAGGCCATAAGGCAAAGGGAAAGTCAAAGGCCCCGGAGCAATCTTTGGCCAACGACCCAAAGAAGGAAAGATTTGCCTCATACACAGGCAGATACGAGTCCTACACTCCGCTCTCTCTTCCACGCGCCAAAATTTACAGTGTGACGAAGGAGGAGCAGAGTTACCGAAAGCCGAGACCACTCCCAGAGTGGTATCAGCGAAAAAATAAAAATCAGTGGTGTGAGTTCCACGAGTCTTCGGGCCACAACACTGAGGAGTGTATCCAACTGAAGGACAAGATAGAGGACATGGTCCGGAAGGGATACTTGAAAAAATACATCGCGGATCACCGCGAGAAAAAAGAATCCGAGAGGTCAGCAAAGGACCCTCGGCAGGACCTCGACTTCCCCCGGAAAAACAGTAAAAAGCCGGAGGGGAAATTCCCTCCGATCAATGTTATCTCGGGAGGAATATACTCTCGGAGGGAGCACAAGCGCCACCTTAGAGCTTTGACTCACCAGGTGAACAACGCTGACATTCAATCTCCCCAGTCGCCGGTGCCGAACATGACGTTCACAGCCGCCGACTGCCGGGGGATTACGTTCCCTCACGAGGATCCGTTGGTGATCATCGCCACGGTGGCCAACCACGACGTCAGTAAGGTCCTTGTTGACGGTGGCAGTGGAGCAAACATTCTGTTCCGAAAGGCCTACAATCAAATTAAGCTGAAGCCCAAGCACCTTACGCCGGTACCCTACCCGGTATCCGGGTTCAATGGGGCTTCAACTTATCCAGATGGGAAGGTGACACTTCCTGTCACCATCGGTTGCGATGAGGCAGCCCGGAACGTCATGATTGAATTTTTGGTCATCGACGCTCCTTCAGTGTACAATGTGATTTTGGGGAGACCCATAATTCACGAGATCCAAGGGGTCGTCTCAACTTATCATCAGCTGATGATTTACGTCTCAGACGCCGGCTTCCCCGAAAGGATACAGGGCAACCAAAAGGACGCCCGAAGGTGCAACTACCTCAAGCCATCCAGTAGTCGCCCAGATGACGACAAGGATGAGGAGGAGAAAGAAAGAGAGCCAAACAAAAAAAAGCCGAAAGGCCTAAGTGCTTCGGCCCAAGGATCTGGGCCCAGAGAAAAACGGCCCGAAAGGGAAAAGGCTAGCTCTTCAGCTGAGCCGCAAGACTCAGAGAGCCAGCCGAAGAACAAAAAGACTGGGACACCTGCTGACATTGGCAGCAGGCCAGATTCTGAAGAGTCCAGTCCATCGGCAATGGACATGGACCAACAGACTGAAACAGTTGAGTTGGCCGAAGGAGACGGTGAGAAATGTGTAGCAATCGGGATGGACCTTGATCCGAACACCCGTTGTGAACTTATTCAGCTCCTTCGGGATAACAGAGATGTGTTTGCTTTCTCGGCAGCTGATATGCCCGGGATAAGTTCAGACCTCATCTCCCATAAGCTTAATGTTGACCCGACGT